GCTTTTTGCGCTATACCCGGATGCTCCACCCGCATGGTCCTGGATGCTGGGTGGAAGCTGTTTCGCTCGCAGGTCTGTGAATTTCGACTGCCACCAATGCAGCTTCCAGTGCCTACACTGCAACTACGGCGAATCTGTGCAGCCAAAACGTGCCGGGGACATCGATTCTGCCCCGAGCACAGGCGGGGTTAAAGGTAAAAACGGGTGTTTCGGGGGTCGTCGCTTTCTATTCAGCTTCTCCCATCCGGACAGGCAAGCCCAACCATGTCCTGTTCCTGTCCGTGCAGAGCGTCGGGAAGCTATACCGCCCACGACTGTCACACCTTGAAAGGGAACCGCTCTGAGGGTCGGTCTCGCTCCATTGGTCTCATGGCTGCTTCTTTCACTGGCTGTGGAATTCTGGGTTTTCTGCGCGAGGTGCAGGTTGCTGAGTCGCTAGCCTTTGCCGTGAAGTGTGTCTCTGATTTGCTGCAAGCGCACCCTCGTCTCGTCAGCCTTGGCTACGACGATGGGTGCCATTTGGCTGAAGCTTTGCGTCGACACTCGGATGCGCGTGTCCGGCGATTGGATGTGTGGATCGACTTGTTCCACCTAGCAGGGCATGTGCGAACCAAGTGCTTCATAGAACACAATCCTCTCACCCGCTTACTTCCAGGAGACATCGTGCATATAAACGTGCACACTTCCAGCTTGCGGCGGTGCATTTTGTCTCACTTGGATGTGTTTGGGAAGGTTCAAAGACGACGTGCCTTGCAGTGCTTGATTCCTGCTCTACGCGAGCCACATCGTGCTGGTCGATCTATGCGGCTGTTTTCTGTCGCTTCTAGCAGTGGTCAGGCATGTCATATCTTGGCTGCATTAGCCACAGCCACCTTACCCGTTCTGGTTGAGTTGCGCCTGCCTTCGCAGATGGTCGTGAATGTCACCCTGACATCGAACAAAATGAGGGCTCGACTCTTCGCTGTGATCGACGCTCCTTCGGGTCGAACGATGAAAAAGATTCAAATCAACAAGGTACAGCTTCCTTGCCGCTCCGTCATGCTTTCTTGGTGGAGATTGCCTTTAGAGGAGCACATGTATGTGCATACAGTTGCCGCCGAGCTCGATCTTGTCCAAACCCTCCGTGTCGCCACTTTACCTGTGCAGATTACTTTCCTCTACGGGCAAAACACGTCTGCCGCAGAGCAGAATTGGGTTGACCTTAATCAATTCCGTCACACGATGCGGAACATGGGGCGGGGCGAGTACCTTCTCTTCGCTCACCGAGTGGCAGACTTGCGGAACGCTGCCCGCCTCGGTGTAGCTCCACAGTGAGCACTGGCATGGAACACTCGCGCTGGAAAAAGCTGCAAGCAGCATTCAACTTTCATGGCATGTCATGTACAAGCATCTTGTTGGTGTGCTTTGTGACATAACACCTCTGCGTCTCAGCGTCTTGTTTTCATAGTGGTTTCCACGCCATCTAATGATTGTGTGTTTGCGCATGCCATCTCTTCTGCTGTGCTTGTCTCATCTCCTTGTTGGTGGCTCGCAGCCATCCTGAAAGATTCACCGAGCTATAGGGTAGCAATAATATTTGCACAAGGACCGTCTTGCCCATGGTGCTCTACCTCTCGAAGATGCAGCTCCTGACCTTGCCCAACATGTATGCTCTCCTTCCCTTACCTTGCACAGCGCTGGCCTTGCAAGCTGCGAAGGTAGACCCTTCCAACTTTGAATCGACTTGGGTGCTGGTGCGGCAATGCAGTCGTGTGTACGACCATGTCGTGGTTTCTATCCAAAGTGCCTTGCTGCAAGGCACCTTCTGCCCGGGCTTGGATTGCATTGCACAGGGGCTGCTGCGCTTGGACGGCTTCCGGGCCGACAGCCTTGAAGCTCAAGTTCTGCGTTGGTGCGGAGCGACCATGAACGACGCTGGCGATCTCTCCGTAGCCAACGGACCGAGTGGCTTGGAATTGTGGCGGGACATGAACTCCGGCGCCATCTCCTTTGTGGGCACGGCTTCCCTCTTGACCGAATGCATCGACACCCATGCGCTCTGGTTGCGTCCTGTGGCGACCACTGCCTACTTCGTGGTTTTCATGACGTACCAGAGCTTCCGCCTGGCCTTGCTCTTCCGGGAGCCAGTGATGTTTTTGGACTGATAGCTGACCATAATCACTTCCGTCACACGATGCGGAACGTGGGGCGGGGCGAGTACCTTCTCTTCGCTCACCGAGTGGCAGACTTGCGGAACGCTGCCCGCCTCGGTGTCGCTCCACAGTGAGCACTGGCGTGGAACACTCGCGCTGGAAAAAGCTGCAAGCAGCATTCAACTTTCATGGCATGTCATGTACAAGCATCTTGTTGGTGTGCTTTGTGACATAACACCTCTGCGTCTCAGCGTCTTGTTTTCATAGTGGTTTCCACGCCATCTAATGATTGTGTGTTTGCGCATGCCATCTCTTCTGCTGTGCTTGTCTCATCTCCTTGTTGGTGGCTCGCAGTCTACTCCTTTTCTCGGACTTTGCAATTTGACCGCCGCCAAGCTTTTGGCTCGCAGACTCGGTCTTGCAATCACTCGTGCAGGGTGTAGAACAGTCACTGTCTCAATGCATTTGCGTGCACCCCCTGGTTCACAGAAGCCCGCTCAGAAGCCCGCTGCTGCGCCTGCGCCGCCGCCGTTGCTCGAGGAGGAGGCGGACCTGCGCTATGCGGCCGCCTTGCACACGGCTTTTCCTTGTGGGAAGCTCGCCGAAAGTGCACCTAAAGTGTGGGCTTTTTGTGAAGATGCTGGGAAGGCTCTCTCGAGCCATCCTGGTGCCATCTACATGGCCTTGCACTCTCTGGCTTCCTTCGAGATGCCCAATGTTGTCGCCAAGTACACCTCCTTGCTCGACATTCCGTCCGTGACGTGGAAACTTCAACTTGGCGAGACGGGAGACGGCAAGAGCCTTGTCATTAACTTTGTGAAGGAAGTACTCAAGCAAAGACGTGCCCACGTACAGGCCCACTACGAAGCAGTTCACAAGAAGCAGGTGGAAGAATGGAAAAAGGAAAGACGGTTTGAGGACAGCGCCGCCAAACCTATCCCGCCGAATGTGAAGCTCATCTGCGACGATGGCTCTGCTGTGGTGTGGTGCCACTCCATGTCTCTCCCGGAAAATGAAGGACGAGGTTTTGTGGTCTTGCATGAATGCAAAAAATTCATGCAGTCGGCCAACAATGCCTCTGGTGCCTTTCCTGCCACAACACTGTGCAAGCTATGGGACAGGGATGATTACTCCCATGATGTGCAGGATTATCACAAGGAATTCACGCTGGAGCGCCCTCTCTTCGTCATCCACACGGCGGGCCACCTGGAAGACAAGCATAAATGCTTCCAGTTTGGGGATGAGCTGGGCATTGACAACCGCCTGGATTCTTTTGTTTTTCCCGCGCAAATCAACCATCTGGCAGACTTTCCGTTGCACCTGGATAAGGCAGCCATCTATGGGGCTGCTGCAGAAGTCTTCCGGGCCATGTGGGAGCACTTCCATTCTGAAGCGGTGCAGCCCCTCATAGAAGCCTTCACCGGGTTCCTTCGCATCCCCGTAGCCGAGGCCCACGACTTTGCAACTTGGTATGATGAGCTGGTAGACCAACAACTTGTGGCTGCCACGTCTGGCAATGCCAGTCACGCTGGCTTCTTGTCGAAAAAGAAGACCAAGATTTTGCGCTACGCTCTGCCTCACACCTTCCTGGAGCAATTTTTTGCCCGACAGGCAGCCGTGGCGGAGTCGGTTCCTGTGCCAGAGGTTCGTAACTCCATCGGTGTCTCGGATCTTCGTGTGAGCGTCTCTGTCCTGGATTTTTTGGAGGCACAGCGCCCGCACCTGAACACTTTGTCTGGACGCATCTATGCATGCCAAGAGCCGGCTGCGGCTGAACTTGCATCGGTGGCTGATTGTGGTGGACTCGTGCTGCAGGAGGTTTGTGCCATTGAGCCTTCAAAGCTTCCAGAGATAGTTGCCACGGACACAGCTGCCTTCGTCACAGCTTTGTTTTCCCTTTGTTCCTCCAAGAAACCAGTGATGCCCTTGAAGGAAATTCAAGCCACTTGGGCGACTCTCGACCCAGAGCAGGGCCGCCGTGTGGCCAAGATGCAGAACGCAGCGCTGAGCACTTTGAGCTGCTTCCAAGCCATCCTCGTGAGGGACAATGTTCGTGGCCCGAAGATCACGAAGCTTTGTCGATTTCCTGTGGAGCGGCACCTCAACGCACCAGGTACGGAAACTGTGACTGCGTTCAACACCCACTTTGCATGCACAACGCTGATCAACAGCTGTGCGCAGACTCCTATTGTGCTGAGTTGGCCTACGGGTCCAAATGTGCTCACTCAGCTCTCCAGCGCTGGAGTGCCTGAAAGTGCCCTGCAGACGTCGGACGCCAAGGTCGCCACAGCTCTTCCGCAATCTTCGGCTTGTGCTCCACGACGGCCCGCCGCATGGTGCACCTTGGCACGGCGACTCTGCTCCTGGTGTGGACAGCTCTCCTGCCACAACCAAGCGACCGCGGACGGTTGCAGTGCCTCCTCCAAGTGCTGCTGGTGGCTTGCCAGCTCCCACGCCTCCCGGCGCCATGCCGGGTGCTTTTGGGGTCTGAAAGTCTTTCACTGAGCGCAGCTTCTAGGAACTCGGCCGGACATCCGTAGCAGATTTGATCTTCCTGCCACAGTTTAAAGAGCCAGTGTGTGACTCTGCAAGGTGCTTTCCTTCTCCATAGGTATACGCTGTATATATATATATACACATACAGTCGTATATATATATATATACATATATATATATATATGCACCTATGCATTTCATAGCTACGTGACTGTCAGTTTGAATTTCTGGTGCCGGATGCTACTGCACCATGCCTACTTCTGTCAGTGGACTCTGTCGTCTAAGGGATTTCCACAGAAACCTTTGCTTGTGCACGATGCTTGTCAGCTCAGCAAACTGTCCGCGTCGAACTTCGATCGTTGTAGCCTGGCCATGAGCGCCTTCGGTGCGCTGCTAGGGCAGCGAGCGCTGCACACCAACCACAATAGTGAGGTGGCGGATGCAAGTCAAACAGACACCGAAATGGGCGTGTGATATCGACAGTCTCAGATTGTTTGGGATAAGTATGCGGCGCTGGCAGGTTGTCACTCGCCGCATCCTGGCGGTACGAGTGGATGGCTGGGTGCAGCTTGGCACTGACGGCCTGGGGGGCTACAGCGACTCCTTGCCGTGGATATGTGCCTTGTCTGCACATTCAACGCGCTGACCACCCGGGTCTGAGTGGGGACCGTCTGCAGCTTTCGTCCAGCGCACTCAGGCCCACAGAACTACCGTGTGCTGGAACGCATGCGCGATGACACCAATGGTGACATGCAGTTGCCACTGCTGCGAGGCATCGAGCAACTTTTTCGTAACCTTTTGCCATGGTTTCCACATGCATGCTGTCACATGTGTTTTCGCACCTAGTCTTCTTGTCCAACGAGGCCCACCTCCTGATCCCACTGCACGGCCTGAGTCTCCTGCTACGCCGGGCCCGGGCCTCCGGGCCTCTCACAGCTCAGAAAGTATAAGTTATAGGCCACCTTTACATGCCATCGTCCCTGTTTTGCAGCGTTCGTGTCGCAAGGTCCCCTTCCTGCGCCGGACAGAGCGTTCCGACCTCCACCAGGCCTTCTTCAGCATGCTGTCAGACTTTTTCATGTCTGGTCTTAGTCAATTTTTTTTTGTGCTGGCTGCTTGTTTACGCTGAGGTGATGACGCCACACGTGTGCGGAGCAGATCTCCGGTGCTAACCGGCCCACGCCTTAAAACTACCGCGTAGATGTTTTTGCTTTTCTCTTCTCATCCCTGTTCCTGTCCAGGTTCCACGAAGCGGCTGGTGTGGGTCGGCAACCTCCCGCCAAACATCCAGTTGACCCGCCTGCGGCGTGATTTCGCCACCGCGGGCGACCTGGATGAAGCAACGGTAACTCGGCTGTCCGACTGTTCTGCTGTGCAACGTTCGCAACCTCGAGTCGAGTTCTCTTTTTGCAATTCACCATGAGCAGCTCTCACCGAGTTGTCTCCATGCGTCCAAGCCTCTCACTGCGCAAGCTTGCCCTCTCCCGCCCAGGTCTTTCCAAAGAAGGAGCATGCTTCGGCGACTCTGCTCTATTCCACGCCTCATGGAGCCTCGGAGGCCGTTTCACACTGGCACAAATCCAGCTACCTCGGCCGAACTATTCGGGTGGAGCTGGCGAAACGCCAGCGCTAGATCCGTGAGACTGGCCGAGTAGAAAGGACGAGTGCGCTTGCTTGCAGACTCTGTTGTTCCCAAGCCGATGCTTTCCAGACCGTCGAGACCTTGGCAGGTGCGGGTGCGGGAGATACAGTGCAGATTTCGTCCCACAGACAATGATGAGGAAATCCTTCCATCAGGGCGCGCGCTGGAGACAGCGACGGCGGTGGGGCCTTAAAATCTGATTTCGTGGCAGGTGCGGATTCAGGGGAGAAAGTGCAGATTTCGTGGCGCGGGGGGG